GTGAGATATGAAGTAGAGGTGCACTGATACATCAGTCCAATATTAAATCAACACCAAGATAGGGAAAATTGACAGCATCAGAAATCGGCTTTTTTTGCCCGATGTGGCCAATAAATGCTCTGTGCAGGTGTACAGCCGCAGCATGTATGTGGCCAGGAGCACAGCCCGGTGGCTCAGAGGCTGGCATAGAGCTGGTATGGTGTGGAGGCAGGGGTGGGGAGTCAGACTGAGGCCCCCTGCAGTGAGGGAGTGGGGCAGGGGCAGGCGCTGCTCAGCCAGGGAGGGGCACAGGATGGATCCACGAGCGGCTCATCCAGAGGGGGGGCCTGCCACTACATGCACGCTGGGAGGGCATGGGTGCCCCCAGATCTGTGCGTGAGGTGGCACTGGGGCTCTGGCCACAACAACCCCCCCTCCCCCTGTGCACCCCGAGCCCAGCCCAGCCCCTTTGCCGGGAAGTACCCAGCACAGGTCCTGGCTGCAGCCCACCCTCGCCCCATGCACAGATCTGGGGGCACATGTCCCCCATGCCCTCCTAGGGTATGTGCAGCAGCAGGAGCTGTCCTCCCCCCCCCCGAAAAGCTGCTTACAGCTCCATCCCATGCTCTGCCCCAGCTGAGCAATGCCTGCCCAGGCCCCACTCCCTCCCTCGCTGTGCGGGCCTTGATCTGCACCCCGCCATGCCCCTTCCCCCACACCAAACTTAATCAGCCCGATGCTGGTCTCCAAGCTGCCCGGCTCTATATTGGAATCAGATTGGTTTGGCCAATATAGGTCCTTAAAAATCAGCCATCGGTACCAACCCAAAAAATCTCTATTGGTGCACCCCTAATACGAAGGCATTTGTAATTGATCCTGACCAATAGGAAACCTTGGCAGGTGATCATAACAAGTGGCATCACCATCTCCATTAAGTTCACAACAGAAATTGACTCCAACAGCTTGAAGAGAAAAAAGCCCATAGGAAGCAAGCAGCTCCTGAACTGCCCAACCATAACATATGCATTTGTAACCACTGCCACAGATCATGCTGATTAAACTATTCAGTCACATGAGACATTGCAAACCATCTACATCATGGTCTACAATATCCACTGTCTCCTGTAGATGAAAGGATGCCAAAGCAAGCTACCATCTATTTAACCATGGTTAAATGCTCCATAACAAATATCTGTAAGGCCTCCCCTAGCACACAGTAAGCTTGAGTCTGTATTTTGGCTTCAACAGCAGGACTTGCTAACAGTGTAGGGAGAGGCTTAAGATTGAAAATTATCATCTCTACTACATCAACCTGCTTCCCAATGAAAGAGTCCCAGACACACTACACCTGATATCTCTTGATTTACTTGAGGACACTGAAGCAGCATACTATGCTATAAACTTACAAAAAAAGCCAATGCAACTTTCAAACGTGCTGCATCAAAACTGCAAATTACACCGTGAAAAATGCAATAGTGAAATGGTGAAAACACAAGAATGAAAAATGCAGTCAGGGAAATCAATCAAGGCTCATGGACAGAGGTGATATCTTTTATTAGACGAGCAAGATTTTTAGAAAAAAAAAAGTCTTTAATTAAAAAAAAGTCTTTTAATTGCAATTAAAAGTCTTTAATTGCTTTTGGGCACAAACACCCTTCATCAGGCATCAGGGAAAAGACTGTCAGGGAAACCAGGAATATGTGTATATAATGAATACATGTAACTGATAGAAAATTAGCGTGTGTATATACATATGCACACCCAATGGATAGAAAATTAATTACTAATTATTAATTATAAGCATGTGTGTATACACACAATTAACAGTTTGGAAATGTATATGCACACATATGTGCAATTGCTAGTGCTAAGAAAATAATTAGGGAGCATGTGTGTGTAACTGATCGTTAATTAGGATGTGTGAGATGAACTAGAAAATTAGTTCTCTCTCTCTCTGGCTTATACCTACACACACACACACACACACACACACACTTATATCTACATGCAGACGCACATACATAGGCACGTATACAGGTGTAACCCATATGGATCAGATGGGATGGACGGTACATCCCGCTCGCCGGCCCCCGACGCACAAGGAACTAGAAACCCAGTCGAAGTGGATGAGGGGGTCGGTCGCCAACGGGACAGCGAGTCACTGAACTAGCCCGATCCTTCCTTTCCTGCACGGCTGACGCGGGGGGACGGAGCCTGGGCAAACCGCGACGCAGCTGCTTCCCGCCGAAGACAGTGCCCGCCGCCCCGCTCTCACCTCCTCCCTTTGCTGGAGCCGCCCCCCAGGAAGTGACGAGACCCGCCAAGCCTCCCCCCGCGGGGTCGCTGCCAAGGCGCGGGCAGCCCCCACCCCGGCCCGCTCAGCTCCGCTCCACCGTCTCCTTTAGTCCCGGGCGCCATGGTGCCCGCGCCCGGCGCGACACCGCCGCTCAAGATGGCGGCCGGTTCAAATTTGGCGCTTAGCGCCAGGAAAAGCGGAAGTAGCGTTCAACCAGGAAGCCGCCGCGGGGAAGTGGCCTTCGTCACGTGATGCGGGGCTGTCCACCCTGGCCTCTGTCCACCCCGCCCCTCCCCTCTCCTGGCGGAAGTGCGTCGTCGGTGCAGCGGCGCGCGGGCTGTTCCCTCGAGAGGCGGCGGCGGCCATAAGCAAGCGGGACCAGGTGTCCTACGTGCCGCCGGCCGAGCCCGCCTTCCTCAGCCGCTTCAAGAAGGAGGTCGGGTACCGCGAGGGGCCTACGGTTGACACCAAGGTAACGGCCCGCCGCGAGGCCTGCGTGACGTCACTGTGCCCTCACCCATCAAGGCGGTGACGTTAAAGCCCCGCCCCTGAGCGCGGGGGCACTGCCCTCCATGGCCACGCTCGCTTCGCGCCCTTAGTGTGAGGTGTATCAGGTCCCCCCAGGGGCGGTGGGCAGGGCCTAGCTACCTCCGTGCAGCCTGCAGTGTTGCCCGCTGTATGATAAGTATTGTATTTGCACTTTAATTTCAACCCTGGTATGATGTACTATCGATAATAGTAAAAGTGTTCAAAATGCACCAGACAAGGTTCCTTGGGTGAATTTGATATCTTTTATTAGACCAACCCAAATGGCTGGAGAATAGTTATTAAGCAAGCTTTCGGGTTCAAAAACCCTTCATCAGGCTAAGGAAGCTTTAGCAGTTGGTGTGTGCTCTTCCACACGCCAACTGCTGAAGCTTCTTTAGCCTGACGAAGGGTTTTTGAACCCAAAAGCTTGCTTAATAACTATTCTCCAGCCATTTGGGTTGGTCTAATAAAAGATATCAAATTCACCCAAGGCACCTTGTCTGCCTGTGTCCTTAGACCAACACGGCTACAACCCAAACCCCTGCAAAATGCACCATAATTTTTGAGGCAGCTCATTGTTGCGGCCTATGCAAAACCCAGGTCGCTTTGAGAGAGTCTTAACCGACATCTGGGTTTGCTGTTGGCAGTTTTTTTTTTTGGGTGAGTACTCGCCTCAAAATAAAGAAATGCTTTAAGTTTAACCCAATTCTCACTCACTCACTGGTGGCTGACAGTGATCAAGATCAAGTAAATAAGACTTATTTGTATACCTTTTTTTTTCAGTGTATGATAGTTTTTCAGAAAATATGATAATTTCATATTTAAGACCTGGCAACACTGGCATCCAGGCTCCCTGCAGCGGGTTGGCAGGCAGCAGGGAGAAGAGGCTGGCAGGAATGGGTCATTGCACGATAAATGTAGAGTGGCTGTCTTTGCTAAGTCCTTGTTGTGCCCTATAAAGGTCCATAGGGCTTTAAAAAGAGCCAACCGAGCCCCCAAGGCCTGGAATAGACTCCCTCCAGAGGTGGTGGGAGTCTGCTTACTATGGACTCTTAAGAACCGTTTGGATGGTTATCTTCCTGGGTGATATGACCCCAGCTGACTTCCTGCCCCTGGGACAGGGGGCTTGACTTGATGATCTTCCGGGGTCCCTTCCAGCCCTAATGTGTATGAAGCCGGCCCCCATACTAGTGCTTGAAATGGTGTAACGGCTTTCTAGGTGGTTGCTGTCCAGTTTCAATGGTTTAATGTGGGACTGAGCCATTAGTGCCACGCCCCTTGCATAGGGGCTGGCAAAGGACAAAACTTCAGCCTCTCACATAAGTTAAAGCAGCGCTTCCCAGGAGGTTGCCTTGTCCTTTCAAGAGTGTCATGGGGCATCACGCAAGGCTAGCACTGTTAGGGGTGCAAGTACGATTTGCAAGAGAAACCTCGAGATTTCCCCCAGGAATCCTTTTGTGTTTAAATCATCCCAATCTTGGGAAAGAGGGAGGGAGGAGAATCTTCCTAAACTCTTTGCCAAAGAAGAATAGCTCTGTTATGTTTCAGGAGTCAAAGAAAACCCAAGTGAAAACAAAGCCCTGGCATTTTCCAAGGGGTGCCTTGAGCCTAAGAAGGTTGAGAACCGCTTGAGCGAGTGCTGCATCAGCTTACATTTGACTGCAGTGGCCCCTAAGGGCTGGTCTAGCTGCTTAAGCACCGTATTAAAGGGTACAAGGCTGCTCTGGGATAACTGGAGAAACCTTGGTTCTTGGTTTAAGTTACCTTTGTAGTGTCCTTGTGATGGTGAACTTCAATCCTTTTCCTAATGTTTTCTGAAGCTTCTCTAGTGTGTCTGAACCACAGATTTCTGATTGGACATCAGTCTACATATAAATGTCAAATAAGTGGAATATATACCTTGTCTTAAACAGCAGCAGTTCCAGCTGTGTTCATGTATACAAGCATCTGCTGCTTTCTAGCCACTAAAAAGATGGGCATCAGCTCTTCTAGCATAAGATTTGACTGTAGCTTTGTGCCATTTGAGTATTGCATGTTGGGAAGGCTTGACACTGTCCCTATGTCTTTCCATCTTGAGCTTGCTACAAAAGTTGAACCAGAGACTGATCCTTCCCAGTACTGTTTGCTTAGGAACTTTGGTTTGGCATGGTCATCAGAGTTGCTTTTGTTTCTCTCATGTAGAGAGAGCAGCTTCCGGTCCCTGAGGAAGATGATGAGAGTGGTACTGACAAAGAGGATGAGCGCCCACAAGTGGTAGTGCTGAAAAAAGGTGACCTGACTGAAGAAGAGGCACTGAAAATTAAAGAGCAGATCAAAGATGCTTCTAAGTTAGGTATGTACTTAAACACTGAATCTGAAGCTGCTTGCCCTTTTGCTTTGTGTGTGATATATATGTTTGTGTGTGAGCATGATTGTGTACACACACGCACATGCACATGGACAGGGAGACACTACATGTATGGAGAAAAAGATTTGAATGATACATGTTTAATTTTCTACAATTTCCTGTGACCTGTCACTTACCGTTCAGAATTCTTCATGTAAATAACTTATCCCAGCAGTTCCCAAGCTGAGCTCTGTGGCCCATAGAACAGTTCCATAGTTTCTAGAGACCCAACTAATATAATCATGCTGTTTCTCATTTTTGTTTCCAGCTGTGAGGAATCAATAAGCTAAAATTACTGTGTTTGTGTGAAATTCATTTTGTTGTTCTCCATGAATAATCTCTTCAATATGTCTTTCAGTTTTCATCTTCTGTGTTCTGATGTATTTACATGAGCATAGGAAAAACATTTCAAATATGAGACTCGGACCATTAGGTTCTAATTTTAAATCCCTGGTTGACTGCTTCTCTACTCTGCAGTGTTAAAGGATAGTTGATGAACATGCCAAGTTTTTGTTAGGCCTAACAGGGGCAATAAACTTATAGCAAACTGCCTAAAGAAGATGGGGAATGAGAGCAGTCAGTGATAGCAGTAAAGGGCATAGCTGGGGTGAAGATGGGGAGTAGGGGAAGAGCTAAAGGAATTTAGCTTGCTTCTTTTCAGTCCTCACAACACTGAGTACAATTGATGGGGACTTCTCATTCTAACTACTTTAAATGTGAAGTTCTTGAGTCATATTTCATATGGGGTATTCAATATCTGGATATATTTGTTCCAACATGGGTAAATTTGAACTGGTAGCAAATAAGCATTCAAATGGCTGGAAGCAATCACACTAAAGTTCTCTTTATAATAAAAACTCCATGAAGTTTTTGTAGTGAGTTTGAAAGGAACATGAATCTTTTCAAAGTGCAGAAATTCACTTTTCCCCCAGACTGTAAGATCAAATGTCCCATTTAATTTATGTCTACCTTTAGCTTTTCTAAAAAGAAAGCTGAAACCTTCTTTGATATCGATAGCACTGCCTTCAACATAGCAAAAAAATGCACAATTTAAAGAAATTTAATTCAGCCTGAGCACACTTCTTCAGACAAATTTTAACTTGTATGTACATAACAACATACTACCACTGATGAAATGGGGTAAAAGAAATGAACCAGTAATCACATTAGTACAAGCTGGTTGGCTGAAGGTGAGAAATGATACAATAATGACCAGGGATACTGGTCTCAGCTGTGTCAGTCTAAAACCATGATAACTTCACAGCTAACAAGAAAGAAACAAAATTCAACACCCTGCCTGCAATCGGACACCATCGAGTAATGAGGCTGCTTCAACCTATTGTCTGTGCCTACTTTGCATACTCAAAGAGCAACCTTTTTAAAAATAGACTGTCCTACCCAGGAGAACTCTGCCATCTTTTAACTCTCCTGTGTAAGATGAAGTTTCATTTCACCTGGGAGAACTTTTGCAATCTTTGACTTCTCCTTTGCCTGAGGAAGGGTGTTTGGGCCTGAAAACTTGCAAAGAAAGCATTTTTTTGCTACTACTTAGTTGGTTTAATAAAAGATATTGTGTCTTCCCCAAGAGTTGTGTCTGATAATGATGACCACGAACCTAGATACAGCATTTTTTATTGTGTTTAATACTACTCCCAGTTCTAAGCGTGTAAAGAAAGAAAACCACAGGAAATTTCCTCAACTTGTTGAAGAGGTCATCCAAGAATGCAAAGAAGAAAATGGCAAGGGGGAAGTCTTTGTAAATAGACAATAAATATTTGGTGCAGCAAATGAAATGAGGAAATTTCTTGCATGCAGTTACCTTGGAAGTCTGAGATGTGACTATTCAGCCTATTATTCAGATATTGTCAACAGGGAACAAATTTCTGAAATGCATCATGCAATTCACAAAGTCCTCCACAAGCATAAGTTACCTCATGGTGTATAAGCAGGTGTTTCATTTCAAATATTTAAGTTTGTTGTCCTGTTTTAAGTAGTTGTGACTATACAAGATTCAGTGCACTAAACAGTCCTGCTCTCCTCTCTCCAACATCTGTGGAGGGGTAGCCATGCAGTTTAGAATGCTACTATGTAAATACCTGTACAGCTTGTGTGTTAATCCCATTTAAAATCTGGGAAGGCAGGACCAGCAGTTTACAGCTGTGGTGTGTGGCTTTTTTTTTTTTTTTAAAGAGGCACAAACCCCAGGTTGTATTAATTAAAACTGTTAAGAGTTGCGTCTATCTGTGTATATACATTGGAGAGTTTGAGGCAGGTTTTTCAGTCAGACATTGTCAACAGAGGGCTACATAGAGAAGCACTGAAATAAAGAAGATTTCAGAGTGATTTAACAGAATGCAGACCGACAATATTACTGTTTCAGTGGAAATGTCTTGATTTAATTAACATCAAAGAATGAAAACTGCTTAAGGACAAAATAAAAAAAAAAAAATAAAAAAGATCCAGAAAAACTGGAATATTTTTGGTGTTTAGCCATGCTGAATTTTCCAAATGCCAAGTGTATAAGTGGAGCTCAAAACCAAAAAAGAGGTTGACATAGAACTGCTGGAATGAAATTCTTTTTCTGCCATTTTGGTTATCCAGACTTCTAGTACAAATTTGTGCTAATGATGGAAGGTGTTCCTAGTACATTTCAGCAATATATTAGAAAATTACAGAAATAAAAATCTGAGAGAAAAGAGAACAATTAATTTTTAAAACATTAGTAGAATTCCGAATTTTTATTCCTGTCCAGCAATTCTGGAATCTTTTTTTTGTACATGGGGCACCTATACATGTGCTCTGGGGGTGTGGAGAGGGCGTGTTTTAATTATAGCAGCTCTCAGGAGCTGCTGTAATTAACACACCCTCAGCGTCTCATGTATTCAGCATCCTGCGTTTCAAAATAGTGGCAGAGGCAAGCTCATCTGAGCTTTAGTTAAAGCGCCTCTGCTACTTTTTGAAATGCGGGGATGCTGATACACAAGATGCTACAGGCATTTTAATCAAGTCCGCTCTGATGCATTCTAATTGGAACACGTTGGAGGACTTGTAAAAGTGCCCATTAAGATTGGATTGGTCAGTATTTCACAGTTGGTTAGCTGCTTAAAATGCAAGTAAGCATTATTTATTTCCAAAAGCCAGGTGACAAAAATCAGTATTCGTATCTGTTTAATATACTTAGAGGTTCCAGCTCCTGAACTGCAGACTCTTCAATTTTCAGAGCGTTCACAGCTTTAGGCTTATTTAAATACACATTTCATATGCTTAATAACATTTTTTTTCTTTCAGTTCTGTAAAGTCTGTGTAGATTTTCTTAGAAAAGTAGATTCTTTCTCAGGAAAATGTTAATATTTTAATTAGCCTGGAAAAGTGGTTAGCACCTTTCACACTGTACATCTTCTGTGGAACCAACTGCTCTGGTAGCCACAAAAATCATAAATGATCATATTGGGAAAAGAAGTGTCCTCCATTATTGTGTCTGAAAAATGATGTGGTCTATTAAAGTCTAGTTGGAAAAGTCCAAGAATAATCTATCTCCCTCAGTAAGGAGAATAACAGTTTGTGTAGAATGAAAGTGCATTGGGGTCAGAATAAGGCAGTGGTTTTTCAACCTTTTTAGGCTAGCTCTTAACTTTCACTGGTTTTTTTGACTGTGAAAAAATACCAGAGAATTTTTTTCATTGCAAAGAGCTCAGAAAGACCACAACAGGTCAAAATGTTTTTAACACTATGGATTCCTATTAGAAATCTCTGGGTTTATCTTGTACATCATGTGTATCTACACCATGCTAATATTGTGCATCAGCCTTAATGGGATGACAAGTTTATCAACTGCCCATGGCACCCTGGTTGAGAATCACTGGTTTAAATAATCTCTTTCACAGAGGATCATTAAAATTGAAGGATATATGGTATGCAAATTTTGCTGTACAGTTTTTCCCATGCTGCTCAGCCATCAATTTCAGTACCTCTGGTGCACCACCTCTGCATTTTTGATCTCCAGCGTTAAATCTCACAAATGACTGTTGCTGGGGCAAACTGTTTTTGGTGATATGCAGGTAGATGGTAGCAGGGGCACAAAGTGACTAAACTTTGAGGACCGATATTCTCTTTTCTGTCTCTCTCTGCCCCATGCTGTGGGCTCTTTCTGCTTGCCTGCCAGTTGAGATATTAACAGGTGCATCTTCTGCCTTGGCTGTGTTTGTTGATGGCTAGAATATGATATCTAGATGTTTATTTTTAGGAATTGACTTATAGGTAAAGTAGATATTGTATTAGAACAATGGTCCAGGGCAACAGCAAGAGTTAATTGATTTTTAAAAGCATTTTGTCACACAGTTTCACAGCCTTCAGGGAAGACAGGTTGTCTGCATCCAACGGATATACATATCCTGAGAAATTGAAAACATCCTAATTTTATTTTCATGATAGAGATAGACCGGGCTCTAGTGCCCACTTGCAAAAGCCCTTGGCTTTCCGGTTTTGGGGGAACAGACCAAATTAGGAGGACACTGGTAAAGCCCAAATTAGGATGTATATATGTAATAGATTTATGAAAATGAAACCTCGTGGCTGCCTATAAGTTCATCACGGGGGCACAGAAGGGAATTGGTGAGGTTTTATTCACCAAGGCG